ATTCTTTTCACGATAACGCGTATAAAACATCAAATAAACTTCAGGTAATCGAACAAGAAATGTATGGTCAAAACGATGCTAACTTGAATGGGTTGCATGCATGACGTCACAGAGAGAAACCGCTGTACATAATGACTCTTTGGCCGTGAGACAAACAAATTAATGGCGGACGAAAATAAATCGTAAAGTTTCGGCATTTTTCTTTCGAATATCAGAAAGATATTTCAGTGAGTGGTTCTTAATGTATCAAAGATTATTTCAGCAAAGTTTCAGCTCAAATGAAAGAGTTTTAATTTTGGAGCGATTTTCGTCCAAATGCCCCTTTAACCTTTAGCGATAGATGTAATATTTGGGTCTGCAAAAAGGCTTCGGCCCAGCTTCCTGATCAATCTGGAAATCCTCGGTTATCGTTCAAGTACAGTTTTCGGATAGCAATAGCGTAAAGAGAGGGGAATATCTCGTCCTCTAACTCTTCCACTCTTGCTATATCACGGGTATGCTGTCTATGAAGGTGCATAGTAAATTATTCTAGCAATGCAAGCTCACCGTTCGTTTCGCTTCGATGCAAAGACACGGCGACCTGATAATTTGAAGCGGCACCAAAAGCTCCATGTCCAAGGAGATAATCCTTTTGCTTGTCATCGTTGTGCTAAGACGTTTCGAAGAGCTTCTGATTTGAAACGCCATGAAAAAGCCCACGAAAAGCGAGCGGTAGAGCGAGAGTACAAGTGTGGTACCTGTGATGAAGAGTTCAGGAATGCTGCTCCCTTTCGGGCCCACATAAAATCGTCTCATGGACAAAAGCGCAAAACAGCCTCTAATGATCACCAAGGTAAGCTAAAACAAGTATTGTGAACACCAATRATATCAAGAAATGTTCATATTTAACAGAAATCTAACGTTCTTTTTTATTTACAGAACCACCATATAAGAAATCAAAACCGACCCAGAAAAAAGACCGTTCTGATCCCCAAGAAACCCCTGCTGATTCTGCTGGTTCTAGTTGGCAACCTGACCCGTTCARCATGCCATCCACACTTTTAGATGGGGACCAATCAACCTTAGAAATCTACAAGAGGCACTGGCGTCAGATCCGTACTCGATTTAGTCGAAGAAACAAAGTTCAGGATTGGTACAATTTCAGGATCGATACTCTCAACACCGAAGACTTCATCCGTCAAATAAACCGTATCTTCCAAGACCAATCTACCGTATTTAGACTCAACCTGTCTTTGGGTTTCATTCTCCGTAACAATGAGACGGGACAACTTCAATTCTACCATGCTTCACATAATAACAGCAGACTGCTTGAGGAACCATTCCCAACCATATCCAACGCCTCAGACCTGGAGAAGGTACATGAGCAGTTACGAAACCTGGACATTCTAGAATGGGTGCGACAGAAAAGACCGATTAGCAAATRAATCGTCAGCTGGATTACGAACGCGTGCTTCTACATTAACAAACTCCGAGATCATCCGATCGGTCGTTCTTCACTGCTACCATCTTACATCCTAAACAATAAAGCCCTCGTTGCCTTGGAGTGCGACAGTAATACTAGCCGTCCCTACCAAGATAATCTGTGCTTTTTACGGTGTCTGGCAGTACATAACGGATGTCATTTAAAGAATTTGAAGAGGGATACCAAGCATTATTTTGAAAGGTCAGTGTTTATTTGCTTTGATAGGTTCTTAATTTCGAATGAATTATTAGCTCAAAATGACTAAACTATTGTTTCCGCCACTAGTTCCTTTTGTTTTATGATTAAGTGAAATGCAAAYTTAGAGTAAAAACCATGCTTCAGTTGGTTGCACATAAACAGCATTGCAATAGCTGTAATAGCTAAGTCATTTTCTTTAACAAAACAAAACGTTTCTTTAAACCAATAATTGAAACACCCGTGCTTGTTATGAAATCTATAAACGTGTAGAGTTAATTTTCGTGTTATTTCTTTTAGATACTCCCAAACCACGAACAAGTCAAATTTGCAGTTAAAAGAAACAACAACTTTATGTGTCTGAAAACCGAACATCTCAAGTTCTTGGATGTGACCATCTTCCTCGCTCCAGGATTCAGCTATGACAAGTTTCTCAAAGCCTATGAATGCCCTCAAACTAAAGGTTGGTAATTATGACTTTTACAGTGTCATGTCGTTAACGATTTCCTAACACTAAACTATGATTTTTAAAATATTTTTAGGGTTCTTTCCCTATGAGTGGATGGATTCCCTGGACAAGCTCGACTACCCAGCTCTTCCTCCCCATGAAGCCTTTTACTCCTCCCTCACCAACACTAACATCTCGCTAGACGACTACCAGTATTGCCATCACGTCTGGCAAGAGAATAACATGCAGTCTTTCCAAGATTTCCTGGTTTGGTATAACAACCTGGATGTCCAGCCTTTCTGTGAAGCTTTGGAGAAGATGTGTGCGTTCTGGAAAGACAAGGAAATCGACATGCTGAGACACGGTATTTCCATCCCTGGCGTGACGCTGACCTATCTCTTCATGACTTTGGAACCAGATATCTTCTTCTCTTTATTTGATGAAAAAAACAAAGATCTGTACTATCTGTTCAAAAAAAAAAATATGGTGGGTGGACCAAGCATCATCTTCCACCGCTACCACGAGAAGGAAAAGACCAAGATCAGAGAAGTGGAGATGACAGGTCAAGGTAAAGAAGCCAAACTGTGTCAAAAGATCGTGGGGTATGACACCAATGCTCTCTACCTCTGAGCCATCATGCAAAATATGCCAACTGGGGTATTTACGAGAAGACGAGAAGAGACAGGGTTTAAGAAGGAAAGTTCAGTCAAGATGGCGACGGAGTGGTTAGAGTGGGAAGCCAAAACACGTGGTATTCAAATTCGACACCAAGTCAATGACAYTGAGAAAAGGATTGGTGCCAGAAGACTGCCTGTGRATGGGTTCCATGGTCCYAGCCAAACCGTCTTTCAATTTCATGGTAAGGAAAACAAATTGTGTATTCATAAAATTGGGCTTCCTGTGATATTCAAATAACTAAGTCCATTGCATTTTCTGTAGTTTTTTAAAAATATTGATTGTTATTCCTTCTAGGTTGTTTCTGGCACGGTCATGACTGTCATTTAACCAAAGGGAAAGAAGTAAACGAGAGACGAAAGAAACCTATGGCTGAGCTGAGGTACGAGACTCGTGTGAACACCCAGTATATTCGTGATGAAGGCTATACGGTCATTGAGATGTGGGAATGTGAATGGCGAAGAATGAAGAAAACTAACCTTGCAGTCAAAGAGTTATTGGAAACCAAGTTCCACAGACCCATGGACCACTACAGAACCCTTACCCAAGATCAGATTATACAAGCCATTCAAAGTGAGCAGTTGTTTGGGGTCATCGAGTGTGATAAAGAAGTTCCTGACCACCTGAAAGATAAGTTCAGTGAAATGTGCCCAATCTTCAAGAATGCAGAGATCAGTCGCGAAGATATCGGCAAGTACATGCAAGGCTTTGCTAAGGATCACGAAATTATAGCTCGACCACGCCGTAGCTTGATTGAGAGTTACTTCGGTGAAAAGAACTTACTGGCCACTCCCTTAATCAATTGGTATCTGGAACATGGTTTACAAGTGACGTGTATCTACCAGGTCGTGGAATATACGCCTAATCCTTGCTTCAAGCCGTTTGGAGAAGCAGTGTCCAATGCAAGACGGACTGGTGACAGAGACCCCATCAGGCCATCATTGCCGATACCATGAAACTCGTACGTTGTTTTCACATACAAATTAGATGTAGATTGCTGTGATAGGTAAAGCACATGTTGTGTACTTATAATAGTGTCTGTTTTTTTATTTCTTAATATAGGTAGGCAATTTTAGTTATGGCAAGACGATCACGGGCCAAGAAAGACACCGAGTAGTCAAGTTCTGTGATGAGGTTAAGACGTCGCAGTTGGTTAATAGCTCGTTCTTCCGTCAGCTGGAAGTCATTGATGACAACACGTATGAAGTCCAGTCAGCGAAGAAGCGCATTAGTTTAAATCTCCCCATGCAAATAGGGTTCTTTGTCTACCAATACGCTAAATTACGCATGCTACAGTTTTATTATGATTTTCTTGATAAGTATTTGAATAGATCTGATTTTGCTTATTGTGAAATGGACACCGATTCTGCGTATATTGCAATCTCTGGTGAAAATGTGGAAAGTTTGTTCAAACCCGAAATTCGAGGGAGGAATTCGAATCTCACAAACATAACTGGTTCCCTCGTACCGATACTCCAGAGAACAAAGCGTATGATAAAAGAACTCCAGATTTATTAAAGGAAGAGTGGTCTGGGGATGGGATCATAAGTTTAAGCTCCAAGAATTATTATTGTTTTGGATCTCATAATAAGTTTTCTTGCAAAGGAATAAACAAGAAGACGAATGAAATTAACAAGGAAAAGTATTTAAATGTATTGTTAACCAAGCGAAGCAGTTCGGGAATCAACAAGGATTTTAGGGTCGTGAAGAACAGAATGTGTACTTATAAACAAGTACGGGACGGCTTTTCTTACTTCTATCCCAAACGTAAAGTGTTGGGGGATGGTGTTACCACTCTACCATAAGATATTTAGTTTATTTTTCAAAATATAATGTATAAATAGAGGGTGAACACACCTCTTTGAAATTCCCTTTTTCCCTCTCTTCCCTCTTGTCCCTCGATTTTCAATCAAAAATGTTTGAAAATAAGTCATAAATGTTAAAATCTGGAAAATTATTCAAATAAAATTAATTAATTATGTAAATAAATCTCGTGATATTTTGATAAGTAATGTTTATAAGTATTGTAAATACTAGTGTACAAACATTTTTTAATAAATAGAGTTTGGAAGTGAACACACCTCTCTTAATGTCCCTTTTGTCACCTTTTGTCACCTTTTGTCACCTTTTGTCACCTTTTGTCACCTTTTGT